CTTGACGTTTTTGCGGTGGCAGGCTCCCAGATAAGTGTGGCGGTTGAAAGCTGAACCTTCTTTGCTCTTTTTTTTTGCGGTGGCAGGCTCCCAGGTGAAAATGTGACAGCTGCAAGCTGCTTATTCTTGACGTTTTTGCGGTGGCAGGCTCCCAGATGAGTGTGGCAGTTGAAAACTAAACCTTCTTTACTTTTTTTTCGGTGGCAGGCTCCCAGGTGAAAATGTGACAGCTGCAAGCTGCCTCTTCTTGACGTTTTTGCGGTGGCAGGCTCCCAGATGAGTGTGGCAGTTGAAAACTAAACCTTCTTTACTTTTTTTTTCGGTGGCAGGCTCCCAGGTGAAAATGTGACAGCTGCAAGCTGCCTATTCTTGACGGTTTTGCGGTGGCAGGGCCCTAGATGAGTGTGGCAGTTGAAAACTAAACCTTCTTTACCTTTTTTTTGCGGTGGCAGGCTCCCAGGTGAAAATGTGACAGCTGCAAGCTGGATATTCTTGACGTTTTTGCGGTGGCAGGCTCCCAGATGAAAATGCGACACTTGCAAGCTACCCCTTCTTTGGTTTTTTGCGGTGGCAGGTTCCCAGATGAGTGCGTCAGTTGAAAGCTGAACCTTCTTAACCTTTTTTTTGCGGTGGCAGACTCCCAGGTGAAAATGTGCATTTTTGCGGTGGCAGGCCCCCAGATGAGTGCAGGAGTTGAAAGCTGGACCTTTTTTTTTTCCCCGGCGACAGGTTGTAACATTCGCTTCGGGGTCCTGGTATGAGGTTGTGGTATGAGGCAGGCCCTTGCGTAGCAACGTAGTGCGTATAGAGTTGTTTCTTCTACCAAAACAAGTTCGTTGCTGCAGCTGCGATAATGTCTAGCCTGATCTGTTCTTGTTGTTTCTGGCAAGCAGAACTGGCGATGAGGGATGAATTTAACGTTGGGCTAAGGTGCTTAAACGTTCAAGATACCACAAAAGGTTTTGGTTCATTTTGACAGCAGAACGGTGGTCATGGAAGTCCAAAACATCTAAGGAGTGTGTAACAACTCACCTGCCGAATGGACGCAAGGGTTGCGATGCAGCTTTTGGCGTGAGCCTCAAATTTTTGTGGAAGAAGTGGGCCGTTTTTGGCAAGCAGAACTGGCGATGAGGGATGAATTTAACGTTGGGCTAAGGTGCTTAAACGTTCAAGATACCACAAAAGGTTTTGGTTCATTTTGACAGCAGAACGGTGGTCATGGAAGTCCAAAACATCTAAGGAGTGTGTAACAACTCACCTGCCGAATGGACGCAAGGGTTGCGATGCAGCTTTTGGCGTGAGCCTCAAATTTTTGTGGAAGAAGTGGGCCGTTTTTGGCAAGCAGAACTGGCGATGAGGGATGAATTTAACGTTGGGCTAAGGTGCTTAAATGTTCCAGATGCCACAACAGGTTTTTCTTCATTTTGACAGCAGAACGGTGGTCATGGAAGTCCAATACATCTAAGGAGCGTGTAACAACTCACCTGCCGAATGGACGCCAGGGTTGCGATGCAGCTTTTGGCGTGAGCCTGAGCGAACCAGCCTCTCGTGCAAATGTTTGTGGAAGAAGTGGGCCGTTTTTTGGCAAGCAGAACTGGCGATGAGGGATGAATTTAACGTTGGGCTAAGGTGCTCAAACGTTCCAGATGCCACAACAGGTTTTTCTTCATTTTGACAGCAGAACGGTCGTCATGGAAGTCCAAAACATCTAAGGAGTGTGTAACAACTCACCTGCCGAATGGATGCCAGGGTTGCGATGCAGCTTTTGGCGTGAGCCTCAAATTTTTGTGGAAGAAGTGGGCCGTTTTTAGCAAGCAGAACTGGCGATGAGGGATGAATTTAATGTTGGGCTAAGGTGCTTAAATGTTCCAGATGCCACAACAGGTTTTTCTTCATTTTGACAGCAGAACGGTGGTCATGGAAGTCCAATACATCTAAGGAGCGTGTAACAACTCACCTGCCGAATGGACGCCAGGGTTGCGATGCAGCCTTTGGCGTGAGCCTGAGCGAACCAGCCTCTCGTGCAAATGTTTGTGGAAGAAGTGAGCCGTTTTTTGGCAAGCAGAACTGGCGATGAGGGATGAATTTAACGTTGGGCTAAGGTGCTCAAACGTTCCAGATGCCACAACAGGTTTTTCTTCATTTTGACAGCAGAATGGTGGTCATGGAAGTCCAAAACATCTAAGGAGTGTGTAACAACTCACCTGCCGAATGGACGCCAGGGTTGCGATGCAGCTTTTGGCGTGAGCCTGAGCGAATCAGCCTCTCGTGCAAATGTTTGTGGACGAAGTGGGCCGTTTTTGGCAAGCAGAAATGGCGATGAGGGATGAATTTAACGTTGGGCTAAGATGCTTAAACGTTCAAGATACCACAAAGGTTTTTGTTCATTTTGACAGCAGAACGGTGGTCATGGAAGTCCAAAACATCTAAGGAGTGTGTAACAACTCACCTGCCGAATGGACGCAAGGGTTGCGATGCAGCTTTTGGCGTGAGCTTGAGCGAATCAGCCTCTCGTGCAAATTTTTGTGGAAGAAGTGGGCCGTTTTTGGCAAGCAGAACTGACGATGAGGGATGAATTTAACGTGGGGCTAAGGTGATTAAACGTTCAAGATACCACAAAAAGTTTTGGTTCAATTTGAATAGATATAGATGTAGATGTAGATGTAGATATAGATATAGATATAGATATATGTGTGGCCCACAAGAATATGGTTGTAAAATGATCTACATGCGTTCAAAGGTAATAAGAGAGAACGAAATATATTTGACATTTTGATCTGGCAATCTTCTGGCATGGCTGCAGCTCAAAACAAATTCTGACCGCTCAAAGTCAGTGCGTGGCAGGCCCATTTTAATTTGGATATGCTGCTGTTGATTTTTGACCAAAATTACAATCAAAAAAGCACTGCCAAAAAATCATGCCAGTTAAAATGGAATATTGTTTTGTGACAACAAGATACTAGTTTTCGCTTAATTTCTCTAGATCCATGTCTTTTTGGTCACCAACGCTAGTGAAAAAGGGATGCACCTTTCAAGAACAAAACCTGGGAAGCTGAGGCCAATTAAAATGGAATATAGTTTTGTGACACCAAGTTTCCAGATGATTGTTTTGTTTTTTGGCTGAATTTCTTTAGATGCATGTTTTTCGTCGCAAATGCTCTAGACAAATGAATGCAGTTTGCCAGAACAAAACCGGGGCGATCTGGCAGCTTGATGTCACAAGACTATATGCCATTTTAATTGGCTCCAACCGCCCAAGTTTTGTTCGTGAAAGGTGCATCCCTTTTTCACTAGCGTTTGTAACCAAAAACAACGCATCTAAAGAAATAAGGGGAAAACATCGAAAAAACAATCTGGAAACTTGGCGTCACAAAAATATACTCCATTTTAATTGGCCCCAGCGCCCCAAGGTTGTGTTCTTGAAGGGTGCATCCCTTTTTCACTAGCGTTTGTGACCAAGAAACACGTATCTGAAGAAATCAAACGAAAAAATGCGACAAAATGATCTGGCAGCTTGGTGTCACAAGACTATATGCCATTTTAATTGGCCCCAAGCGCCACAATTTTGTTCTTGAAAGATGCATCTCTTTTTCACTAGCGTTTGTGATCAAAAACAATGCATCGTAAAAAAAACGAAAAAATCGAACAGAAACATCTGGAAACTTGGTGTCACAAAAATATACTCCATTTTAATTGGCCCCAGCGCCCCAAGGTTGTCTTCTTGAAAGGTGCATCGCTTTTTCACTTAAATTTGTGACCAAGAAACACGCATCTAAAGAAATCAAGCGAAAAAATGCGACAAAATGATCTGGCAGCTTGGTGTCACAAGACTATATGCCATTTTAATTGGCCCCAACCGCCAAAATTTTGTTCTTGAAAGATGCATCTCTTTTTCACTAGCGTTTGTGATCAAAAACAATGCATCGTAAAAAAACCGAAAAAATCGAAAAAAATCTGGAAACTTGGTGTCACAAGACTATACTCCATTTTAATTGGCCCCAAGGTGCATCCCTTTTTCACTAGCGTTTGTGACCAAGAAACGCGCATCTAAAGAAATCAAGCGAAAAAATGCGACAAAATGATCTGGCAGCTTGGTGTCACAAGACTATATGCCATTTTAATTGGCCCCAATCGCCAAAATTTTGTTCTTGAAAGGTGCATCCATTTTTGAGAAGCGATTTTAACCAAAAACACGCATCTAAAGAAATCAATCGAACAAATGCGAAAAATACTCTGGAAACTTGGTGTCACAAAACTAAATGGCCGCCTTTCCCAGAATATGTTCTTGAAAATGCCAGCAATTGTTGAATAACCTTTCTGTGGCCAGAAACAAACCTTGAAAAGAAAAAACAAAAACAAAGTAAAATAACAAACTTGTATCTTAGCAACCTTTCCAAGGTTTTCTCCTTGAAGTTTTCTGGTCCAGTTTTCCACACCTTTTATGGCCCAAATCAGGCCAAAATAAACAAATTATTGGGCTGCTTTGGCTCTTTGTTTGTGCTTTGCGACAGTATTTGGTTTTGCGTTGGTGCCTCTTTCTTCCTGTAACTTTCTTTTGCCCTTCTCTGTTTTTCTCTCAGCCTGTGATTCGTTCCTTCTTGTGTATTTCGCTTGCGCACGCTCCTTCCTCCCGCGTTTTCCATCTTAGATGCTGACAATTTAATTTGGAGACTCATGGATTTGGTGGTATCCCACTTCTTCCTTTTTCGGACCCCAGGGACCTGTGACACGGCATATGATTGATGTCCGCATGTTGCGCATGCGTTGTGCAAATTCGATCAAATTCAACCTTTGATTTTGGTTGCATCCCTCGCTGCAGCAAGAAACCGAAGTGACTTTTCATGTTCATGTTGACAGCTTCATAAGGGCAACTTGTAGGCGCGATTTGGTGCCATTGCAACAGCACATTTTTGCTATGTGAGTTTTTGGGCGTTTCATGAAGCACGTGAGTTCACTTCAACATCTTTGTTTGATTTCATGTGGATTCGCACCGGCCGCGGATGCGGCGAAATGACATTCTGCAATGGTTGCGGGCGAACGAAATTATCATTGATGATGATGATGCGCAGTTGACAGATGAACATGGGCTTTCTGCAGAGAGTCGTGGCCAACCTCTACAGCATGATCAGCAAGAACAAATTTCTTCGGAGGAGAACTGCGTCGGTGGTGATCAGCATGAGAATGAGGATCCTGAGTTGAGTGGTGAACAGCGTTTTTTGGCAGAGGGTAATGACCCACCTCCACAGCATGATCAGCAGGAACGAGCCTCTTCTGAGGAGCCTGGCCTTGGTGATGCTCAGCATGCACTTTCTCAGTCGCCTGGGGAGCGTAGCATTGGTGATCATCAATGCGAAGAGCTTGAGTTGACTGATGCAGAGCGACCTTCTGCAGATGTTAGTGACCAGTCTCAACAGCATGATCAGCAGGAACAAGTCTCGCCTAATGAGCGCGGCCTTGGTGATGCTCAGCATGAAGGTTCAGAATTGCCTGATGCTCCGCCAGGTATGGGTGATGCAGATAATCAAAATGATGCTGAGTTGACTGATGAACAGGGACCTTCCAGCTCCAGCTCCTCACGGTCATCGTCGGAAGTGGAAGCGGAATCCGAAGATGAATGCCCCTTGC